CAAATCATCAAATATGATATTGGATCTAGGGCATATCTACTATATCCCTAACCATCTCCCACTTGCACTAGAGCCAATCGCTTTTGTACTTCATCCCAATTTTCACTTGTGCTTGTCAAACTCTTTTGCACCAAGAGCTTTAGTGAATGGGTATGGAGCATTTTCCTTTCCATAAACCTTTTGAACCTAGACGTCTCCACGTCTAATGATTTCTCTTATCAAGTGATCCCTTGGCAGAACGTGTTTGGATTTTTGGTGTGATTTTGCTTCTTTTGCTTGAGCAATGGCTCCAGTATTGTCACACAACAGTGGAACCGCACCTTTTATTGAAGGAACCACACCAAGTTCAGTTTAGAACTTTTTCATCCATACAGCTTCCTTAGCAGCTTCACTAGCTGCTATATATTCTGCTTCAGTCATTAAATCAGCTACTATAGCTTGTTTGGAACTTTTCCAACTCACTGCACCACCATTTAAGGTGAATACATAACCAAAAATAGATTTTCTATCATCTCTATCTGAAGAGAAACTTGCATCAGATAACCTTCAAGTATCAACTCAGAATCTCCATAGATGAGGAATTGGTCTTTAGTACTTCTTAAGTACTTAAGAATGGTCTCACCACCTTCCAATGTTCCTCACCAGGATTTGCCTGATAGCGGCTAGTCACTCCAAGTGCATAAGCCACATCAGGACGTGTACATGTCATGGTATACATGATAGCTCCCATTGTACTAGAGTATGGGATCCTACTCATGAGTTCTCTCTCTTCAGGTGTTTTAGGACAATCCTCCCTACTGAGAGTAATTCCAGTGCCTATCGGTAGATAGCCTCTTTTGGAATTATCCATGTTATACCTCTTTAAGATGGTATCAATGTACAAAGACTGGGAAAGTCCAAGCAGCTTCCTATATCTATCTCTATATATCTTTATTCCTAATATATAAGCTGCTTCTCCCAAGTCTTTCATGGAGAACTATTCAGATAGCCAAATCTTGGTACTTTGCTATGCCGGTATGTCATTCCCCATGAGCAATATATCATCAACATACTACACTAAGAATATAATTGTGCTCCCACTAGCCTTTTTGTACACACAAGGTTCTTCTTCGTAATTAACAAAATTGAACTTTTCAATGGTCTTGTTAAAGAGAATATTCCAATTTCGAGAAGCTTGTTTTAGTCCATAAATGGATCTTTGTAGCTTGCAAATTTTATTATGATCAGACGAAGATGTGAAACCTTCAGATTGTGTCATGTACACATCCTCTTCTAGCTCACCATTAAGAAAAGTTGTTTTCACATCCATTTGCCATATTTCATAATCATAGTATGCTACTATAGCAAGCAAAATCCGAATATATTTGAGCATTGCCACGGGAGAGAACGTCTCGTCATAGTCGACTCCATCTTTCTAACGATATCCCTTGGCAACAAGACGGGCTTTGTAGGTCTCCACCTTTCCGTCTGCTCCAATCTTTTTCTTAAAAACCCCATTTACAACCTATAGGTTTTACATCCTTTGAAGGTTCAACTAAAGTCCATACTTTATTTTCATTCATGGATTCCATTTCGGATTCCATGGCCTTTTGCCACTTCTCATAATCAGAACTTCGTATAGCCTCTTCATAGGAGTTTTATCACCACTATGGCATTTGCCCCGCTCAACTTGCCCCTCACATTTACAGGTTCACCAAGATGTTGACCAAATTTACTGAGCACGCCGGGGTTGAGGTGACAGTGCGACATTTGGTGCACCTCCTCGAGATTCTATAGGGGGGACGATGTTGAACCTTCGTCACCATAGAGGCAAGTGCTTGGTGGTGAGGATGGAAAACAAGGCCAGCTACCAATTCTGACTTGATTTCTTTTACGTCGGAACTGAGGACGTTGTAAATACGACGACGGCTTCCCTGAGGCTTGGAATTATACATGTAAGTGTCCAGGTTTCTTTTGTTTTTACATTTTACATCTTTTCGCCAATTTCAAGCTATTAAGTTATTCTTCCTTCCCTGTAGCCAACAACATTCCTCCATGACGCAGGGATTCATGATTGCCCGAGCCTCTTTAAGAAGTTCAGACCGGCTCTCCCTTCTACAGGTAACTTCTCTTTTTTGCCGTGATCGTTTCTTCTCTTTGTTGTATGCTGGCTTGCTTTGTTAACTTTATGTTTCTTCCTTTTCTAGGTCCAGTTAGGGGGTATTCTCGAAGGAGCACGACGTTTGTGCCTTTTTTTAAGAAAAGAGTCGTTGCGCCTTCGGTTTCTACCCCTGTCGTGGTAGTTAAGCCTTCTGTACCTGCCCCTGTATTGATTGTTGCAGCCTCTGATTCTACCCCTATTGCAACTATTGCTTCCACTCCTCAGTTGTTCTCGTTGATCGATGAGGACGATCAAGTCTCCCCCGGTGATGGGGATCTAAGGCCTCGTAAGAGGATAGCCGTAAACGTGGGGGAGGGGGGATCCCGATGTCCATTGACTCGTTGGAGGGCGGCATTGTTCTTCGAGAGACGACAACAATACATAGTGGAGAAGGTACTGGGGCGAGCTCTAAGGCCCCACAATTGGAAGAGACGGATGTGGACGTACTGTGCGTCCTGATGGGGAGACGATCGATGAGGGGGTACTTGATGGCGGCCCCATACTTTCAAAGCAAGAGGAAGCTTCATCCTCCTGGGCGGGAATGGATGTTTCTTTGCCAGCCTATGACAGAGGGAAAGTCGTCTTCAAGGACGTTGATGAGTTGTGTTTCAACATTGACTTGGACGATCTGAGGATGGTCGATGAGGGGCTCACCCAACTCGATGTGAGGCTAGAGGGAGGTTCTAGGACCATCATGATCCTAATGGATCATGATTTACTTGTAAATACCACGGAAGTAGTCCCTGCTCTCGGTCCTTTCTGTTATGACGTCGAGGGTGAGACCCTCAAGAAGATAACCAATAGTACTTTGTCGAAGAGTATCATTGGTCTCGCTCTCAGGGTAAGTACGATTGTTATCCACCCTTTTCCTTATACCTTAGCTTATTTTTAAATTCCAACCTCTTTTCTTTGATTTGTAGACAGTCATTTTGGAAATTGAGAGTGTTCGGAGGGCGAAAAGGCATAAATAATTTTTTTGTGAAGCTGAAAGGGAAGTATACAAAGTACCATAGGAAGTATCGAGATCTCCAAAGTTGGCTTCGTGAGGGAGGCGATACGTTGGCCTTGAGAGAAGATTTGAAGAAGAAGGATGAGGACCAGATGGTAGCCATGGAAAAGTTCAGTATCCTTGAGGGCACGTTGAGGAGCAAGAAAGAAGAGCTTGAGCTCAGTTAGGGTGTGGCAGCCCAATGCAGCAACCTTCAAGTTCAAGTAGTCCAACTGCAAGGCCAGTTAGACGAGTGCCTATTCCAGATGGAGGCTCTCAGGGGTGAGATTGCTGAGAAGCATGAGGAGCTCGAGCCGGCGGAGTCTTCTCGAATGGATTCTCGGAGAAGGATCGAAATTCTTGAACTGGCGAATAGGACTCTCTGCTCTGAGCAGGAAAATGATCTCTCGACGGCACGAACTAAGGAGGGTCGTCTTGAGGAAAGGATTGGGGATCTAGACAAGGAGACTCTGAGCTGCATGATCGATTATATGATATTTATGTACTCTTGGAGACTTGTAGATGGATGTCATGTATACGGATACTTGTATGGCCTTATCGGCCTATGTTTTGAGTGTACAAATGATCATGTTGGCCTTATAGGCCCGTATGTCATGTAAGTAAGTTTCTATATCAAGTTGGGTCGTTCTATGTCAAGTATTCTCTCATGTTTATTCTACTTATCTCACGACAACCTATCCGGCTCATTTACCTATGATATTATGATACGAAAGATACATTATGTAGGTACTTGAATCCGTCTTCTGTTGAAATTATACTGATGACATGTAGCAGCCTTCGAAGACTCTCCTAGTGCTAACGCGGCCTAAATATAACTAGGATAATTTTTGTCCTATACAATAATCATTTAAAATATCAAAGGATTTTATAACTTGATAGTAAAGGCATTTCAAATTCAAAATTTAGTATTAAATATTAATATTATTTCAGTTAGAGATGAATTTAGAAATGAGGATAATTAATTAATCATATAGAAAATTATATAAAGTGTGGGGATAGATATTTATAAGTTGAATTAGTTTAAAAATAACAAAGTAAGTAGTCAAACATAATATTAATAAATGTAGACAAATTAAGATGAACAATAGAATAAATTTTTAAAGTAAAAAATTTAGGAGTAAGAAAAACACATATGTTATATTAAAAAGAGAATACTTGACAAAAATATTTAGTGAAGTGACAAGCTAATAAACGTCATAATAACAAATGAACTAATGCTAAATATAGTATTTTATGTAATAAAAAATGAGGAACAAAAAAATTATTTGATGACTGTATGAATCTTTTTTCTAATTTCCTAAGATTTTTTTATTGGATAATAAGAAGGGGAAGTGAAATTTAATTCAAGCATTATGATATAATATGCTCAAACAAATTAAATCACATAATATGATTAATATTCTTTGCACATCACGCAGGTACTAATATTAGTTGGTTAAGAAATTGAATGGATGAATTCGTTGAAAATAATAAAAGATTGGAGAAAATTTGAACTAAATCGCGACAGACCCATGAACTGAATTGGGTCAAATCCAACCGCCGAATGTGGTTGCTGTTGATTGAGGAAGAAGGTTTTGGTGACCGAACAAAGCCCAATTGCAGGCTGTAGAGCAGTAGGGATCATTGATTATTAAATACAACTACCTGTTACATTTTTCTTGTCTTGATTATTTTCGAGACACAAAATTTATTGGTACACTTTAATTCTGTAAAATGCTTGCGCACACAAAAGAGCTAAACCAAACAAATTTAAAGCAGAAACAAACCAATTAAGCTACCTTAGGAAGCCTAAAAATTGAGTCTAGATAATCAATACGACCTGGAGGGCCGCGTCTGTTAATACCAGAGCAATTATTTGAAAACTCGCTTTAGAAACTTGACACGAATGCAGGGGCGGATCCAAAACATTACATACAGGTTCACTGGAACAGAGTAGCTTTTGTTCATATCTTGTATATATATGAAGAAATTCATTAAATGTCTATAAAAATGAAATTGTGAACATAGTTGTTATTGTATATAAATTTGAGATTTTTATAGGAACCTATAAATTGTAAATTCTGGATCCGCCTCTTGATATATGAGGTGCTTCATTATTGCTGAAAGGAGTCATTCTTCCTGGCACTACTAACACTATCATCCAATATCTCCTTCATCCCATACTTGTACACGAAACCGCTGTCAACAAGCTTTTTCGATCCCCATTTGATTTCTCTATTGGGGTCATTCAAGTACCTGGAATGAGAAGTTTTACGAAAGAAATTAAGAGGAAAAAGCATAATAAGAAAAAATTCCATTCAAAGAGAATATTTTATATGCAATTCAACTTCATATTCTTCGGGCTATTCAAATTTGAATTTCTTCTACTAAATCTTCTTAAATATTTTAAATGCAAAAAGTTCATCGTGTTTAATATTTGTATTAGTTTCTAAGAATTGAAAATAAAATTTCAATGAAACTAATAGCACTGTCGTTTTTTTACCTCTAAAATATTTTTTCATGTATTGACTTTAGAAGGACACTATGTTTGAGACAAATGAAATAATGCATACGGGATTAATAAGTTATATATATTGACACTAAAATCTTATTTTAATTTATCAATGTAATTTAACCTGACACTAGTTGTATGAGACATCTTTTTTGTCTCACAATTTTGTGAACCAAAATTTTTGAGGACCTACAAGTATAAGATTAGAGTCCATAAATTTGTGAGACAAAAAGGAGTCGCAAACAACTAATGTAAGTTACGTGAGCCACATAATAAAACTTATCGCGAGAAATAGATGACAATTATGTCAACAACATAGCATACCTAATTTTACCTAACCTACTACTTCTAGAGTACTTATTAGTTTTTCATTTGCCAATTTCCTTCCTCACGTGTCCCTGTCCCCGGGTCCCACATGTAATTTGCTAATTTTCCCAATGTGTCTTTCGTGAGCTTATTTTCATTCATAACAGGCTCTAATACATAGGTTCTACAAAATGCAATAGTTTTGAATACCCAAATCCTTTATAGGTGTAAAAAAATCCACTAACTTAGCACAAAAATTAAATTCAGAACTCATTTACTAACATTTGAGGTTGCTACTGTCCAGACCCTAGAACCATTAAGTTCATATAAATTTATATTGTAGTTACTCCATAAGGGACCTGAGTGTGCAAATACTTTTAATACTAAAAAAAGGACAATTCGGTGCACAAAGTATCCGTATTCATGCAGGATTCGGGGAAGAATTATATCATAAGGGGTGTGTTGTAGGCAGTCTACTCTGATACAAGTATCAATCACTTATTCCACGACTCGAACCGGTAACTTAAGTCACACAGAGATAATTTTACGGTTACTCCAAGGTTTTCCTTGACTTATAACAATAAAGATGCATAAAACTTAAACTCAATGAACAATGCAAGGTTGATATCTTACTCTTGGTTGACATTAAACTCTGGATAATTCTGTTGGTAATAACAGCCAATCTCTGCAGAAGAAACAAAGGAGCTAGCGCACAAGAAACGGCCATTGACTGCAGCTTTCATGGAGAACAAATGAGCTTCACATACATCTTCAATATGCACAATTGGCACTTTTCCTATGAGCTCTTCTAAAAACTTGAGTGAATTATAGAGACTTTTCTCTTGTGTCAACAGTGACAAGAATAAGGCAGTACTTGTTGGGGTATAAGGTAAGTATGTTTCTCCACCCACAAGACCGCAGCATAATGTCACCACCTCCATACCCTCCTTCCCACAGTTTAACATCTCTTTCTCGGCTAGCATCTTTGACTCTACATAATCCTATTATTATAAAGAGTTATAAGTTATATGTAATGATATTGTAAAAATATTTACATAATCGTATCACAACTTATAAGGTAACTACATTAAACTTTTCATAATAACTATTAATTGGGTAAACTACTAGATATAGCATTAACCTGATACATGTTAAAATGTACTGTGATATTGCAAAAATTATAAAAGAGTTTAAAATGTCATTTTTAATGTAGATACACGTAAATTTTAGTGAATAAGCATTATATTAATTACTAACTTGATAAAAATGATATTAATAGCTTGTTTGGCCAAGTTTCTAAAATCAGCTTATTTTGATAAGTGTTTTTCTCAAAAGTACTTGTGGTGAGAAGCAGTGTGTGTTTGGTTAATGAATTTGAAAAACACTTCTGAGCAACAATTAGTATTTGATCAAGCTCTTAAAAAGTGCTTTTACGTATATTTTTTTCAAATATGCTTTTCAAAAAAGTGCATTTGGGGAAAAACTACTTTTTTCTTTCTCCAAAACTAAATTTCTGCTTCTTCAAAATTATTTTTGCTTCTTTTTGAAAACACTTGTTTTCTTCTAAAAGCTTGGCCAAACACTTCAATTTAAAAAAATAATAATAATTTAACAAAAAAGTACTTTTGGCCGGAGAGAAGCTAAGAGTGGTTAAACTACATAAGAGCTTTATTGCAGCATATAGGAAGGTAAATAAATACATTAGGCTCACCTTAAGCCCCTGATCGGCATAAGGATTTGAGAAATTTAGAGGTGTCCAACACGTTTCATCCATCAAATCCTTGAAATTAGTCCCATCATCCTTCAATGGAGAAGCAGCAACCACAGATGCAGTATATATAAGCTTTTTTACTGTCCCAGATTTAAGGCAAGTCATTCCAATTTTCTTCACTGCAGCAAGTGTAGCCTCAGTTCTATTTTTGTACTGTTTCATATGACCCCAAAACAAAAATCAAAATTAGTTATAAAAAAAATGAGAAGAAATAGAAAAAAAATTCTATAATATTGGATCTTTTCCTTTTTTTGGCAATTTCCTATAGTCCTAAACAAATCCTAGTAGTAACTAGAGCAAAAGGTAGTCTTCCTTGTGCATATACCACCTATAATAGGCAACATTTAAATTTGATGAGTTCGACTTTTAGAATTTTTAATTTGGGTTCAAAATATAATATATTAAGTAATTAAAATTTTAATAATTTTTAATATACACATCTACGTAACGTCGTTGCATGACGAAAATATCGGCTCAGTTGAGTCCATTGAACTCATGGATGGTGCTGAGGAAGCTACATCCCCACCAAATCACAATAGATTTAAGTTATACTCCCTCCGTTCTAATTTATGTTAACATGTTTGAGTGGATACGGAATTTAAGAAAAAAATAAAGACTTTTGAAATTTATGGTCCTAAACAAGTTAAAAGGGGGTCCAGCGTATTTATATGGTTATAAAAGCCTCTCATTAATAGTAGAATTGTAAGTTTAAGTTACATTATAATCAAATTTAGAAAAGGATCATTCTTTTTGGAAGGAACAAAAAAAGAAAGTAGGTTCATATAAACCGAAACAAAGGAATTAGTATATATTAATAGTGTATGCTACTTTTCGTACTATAAGTGTAAAAGTTTTTTGAGTTACCATTACTACTCCTATTAAGAGTGATGACATGTCATTATTCAAATTAACCTATCAGATAAAAAAAACTTATACACAGCCCGTGCATAAAATTTAAACTCAATAAAAATTCGGGATAAGAGTGATGGATGAGTGGCATAGGTGGAAAGGGGGAGTGAGGACAAAAAATAATACTTGAAATCCTTCGGAATGCAACAAAGGGGTAGCAACATGGAAAACGAATTCACAGCCTTGAATTGCCAGCTCAAACTCTTCTGGTTTGTAAATATCAGCTTGAAATAATTTGAGTCTTTTATCTGCACCAAGAAAGCTCTTCAACAGCCCCACCTTTGATTCATCCTCTGCACGTGATTGAAGTATGATTCTCCAAAACTTATGTATTTTTTGAAGATCGACGCGAGTATGATCGAATGTATTTTTGAAAAATTCGAGGAGTAAAAGAAACTAAATAAAAAACATACCTAAGTTCCTGAGGGTAGCGTGAACAGTGTAGCCTCTGTCCAAAAGTTTGTTTACAAGAGAAGAACCTATGTAACCTGCACCTCCTGTAACACAGACCTTACAGTTGCTTTTCTTCTCCATTTTTGCTGGACCTCTTATTTGCTTTATCTCTTCCTCAGATATTTCTATTTATATTCTATTCATATGGGAAATCTAAATGATAAAATAGAGCCATGTGCTTTTTGTCATATCGTATGATCTAGATTTATCCAATACGTAGTGTTTATTACAGAAACAACAAAGTCAAACACGAGAAAGTGCCACATGCTTTATGCCATAGGTTTTTAGTTTACTTGCATTGGCGGCTTTAATAAAAAAATTACAGTGCAACTTAAAATCTTATCGAAGGATATCTGGCTGTTAGTAATTTAATAATTATTTTTGTTAAGTACCAATAATTGAGGATTTAAATAAATCTTGATAATGTAAACAAAAGTCACTATATAAAAGCTAATGCTCGCTGAGTTGGTCTGTTATATATGAACCCTTAAATTAAAGCTAATTAATTATCTGTTGGGGTCTATGCCTAACCTCCACCATAGTTTTTTTTTAAAAAAAATAAAAAATAAAAAGACTAATTCGGTAAGGAACAGATCTGTTAAAATAGAACACGACAAAGTTTCCCCACGTAAATGAATTCCTCAATTTCACTTATTGTTTGGCCAAACTTCTAAAATCAGTTTATTTTGAGAAGTGTTTTTCTCAAAAGTATTTTTCAAAAAAGTGTTTTTAATGAAAGGCAATTTGTGTTTGGTTAATTAATTTGAAAAGTACTTTTGAGCAGTAATTAGTTTTTGCCCAAGCTTTCGAAAACTGTTTCTAAGTATATTTTTCTCAAAAATATTTTTTATAAAAGTGTTTTTGAAAAGAAGCTATTTTTTTGTGTTTCTGCTTTTCCTCGAAAATACTTTTTTCCTTGCAAAAGTTTGGCCAAACACCTCAATTTTGGCCAAACTAGCTATTAAAAATATCTGCCAAGCATATTATCAACGACAAGCTTTTAAAAAAGAATTATATTTCCTATGATAAGCTCATGGTCAACATGTTGGCAACCACGAGGTTAATTTAGTCGTTCTTCTTGCGAGGTGTATATTCTAGCGCAGTCCGCATTAATGGACAAAAATGTCAGGTTCCGCCTATTTTGTAGAATTAGCTTTTACAGAAATTTGTTTTGGCCTTACTTTTATCTTCTTATTACTAACATTTTCTCCTTAATTTTCTGTAAATCCTTTGTATTTTGAACCCTCTTTCGTAAATTGTTCTGCATCACTTTTGAAATGTCATTATCATGGTGGGACCCATTTCACATACTCGATTGGTATCTTTCTAACAAAATTCCACGTAGCCTTCTCAATACAAAATTGAAAGCGTACTTAAATCTAGGCCTTCCTGCCACTCAAATTTGTAGCGCTTTTGAAAGCCGATACATAAACTTTCATCTTTCCCAATTAAATACTTAAACTGGTAAAATCTATAATTAATAAACATTTTTGACCATTAACTATGCTTATGTAGCGGTAGCTTATTTTACGTGGACATAGTGCGTACAAGTGACGATCAAATAGCGCGTGTATCTGTTATTATTCATTAAAAAGATTGTAAAATTAAAAAAAATAGAAACTATAAGGAAAACCAAAAAAGAAGAAGAAAATGGTGGTTGGGTTTATTGACCCCGCCTTATTCCGCCAGTTCCTCCAAAAAAGAGAAATTAACCATGGAGCTAGACTGCCGGAATTTTTATCAATTCCTATGGGAGATAAATTGAGATAAAAATTGAGGTCTATGAATGTTACCGGAGAAAGGATTAGATTTGAAGGCCTAGCTCCACTGGCTCCGACGACGGAGACGGCGGATTTTCCGGGGGAGACGATGAGGAAAATTACAGTGAATGATGCTAGGAAAATCTTGAGGTTTTATCAGTTGGAGAAAGTGAGATTAAGAGTTAGAGATATGCCGATGAACTCCATTTTGTATTCTAAATTCGTTGAGTTTCTCTTCGTCTTTTAGTTCCATGTTGATTTTGTTCCAGTGATTTNCCCACCCCCCCAGAGCCAGAACACAGGCGCCGACCTCTCCGCCACCAGCACAAGTGAATAAGAAAAGATCACGTCGCCAAAGGTGGCGGTATCACCGTCTACAGGTCGAGTCATGAGATCTAAAGTGCAAATACTCGACGCCGTGAATCAAGAAATTCGGGTGATATACATACGAAGGCGTTGGTCCATCGGTGCCTTAGGGGAAATCATCTGCGCCAGTGTATTTATAATTAGTGGAGACCTTTGAGATACTTGGCCTCTAGCAACAGAGAACATGGTTTGGAGTTTGCAAAGATTGTTGGACGATTCAGGCAGCGTCATCGTTTTTCGGTGACGTCGTTTTGCTCCGTCCCCATCAGGTAAAAGTTGCATAGCTATGGTGAAGAAGAAAATAAAGGAAATAGAAGAAAAAATAGAAATTAATAAATTTACTCACGCCCTTGACGTGTAACAATCACATTGGTCATTTGCTGACTGCATGGACACGTATGTAAATGTGTAATACACGCACGTAGGTTCAAAGGTCAAATGTGTTTATTAGTTAAGGGTTTCACGAGTTTGAGTGTTCAAATGGGAAAGTCCAAAGTTTGTGTATCGGCTTTCAAAAGCCTTGCAAATTTAAGTGGCCAGGAAGCCATTACGCCTTAAATCTAGTCTTCAAGTTTCGGGAAGCTTGCACTCCGATAAGTATTGAAATTGAGAGCATTTGTAGGTATTCAAAATTTGTCAAATTACCACATAAAAAAATTTGAATTAGGACTTCTACAAGATGCTCACATTAAGGATGTTACTTGATGGCTACTTCACCCAAATCTTAATTCATGTTTATAATAAGGCTATATATGTCCTTCAAAAATTATCTTAGCAATTCCAATATACTTTCGGAATATGTGCAAATAGATCAAATATACGATCTCCGAAACTCCTTAAAACTCATGGATTATTCACTAAGAGATCAAAAACATGTCAAATATGTCTTACTCAAAGCTCTAGCAACATTCAACGCCCAAATAGAGTACTGTTACATGTTTTTTTATCATCAAATACATTAAGGAGATGCATATTATCTTACGTTCAAGAAGTATGCTGCTAAGGTCCTCGAATTGCGAATAAAAAATCGAAGGAAAGAATCAAGCGATAAATAGAGTTATAACCCGCAATATTTATCAATAATTTTTTTTTTCTTTATAGTTATTTATGATTGCAGTTCTATTTTTCTGCACAAATTCATTGCAAATAGTGTCATTGACAATTCTACCATTTGAACATCTAATTACCCATAGAAATTTTTGTTCACTCATGTCTAACCTTATTGCAAGTTCAATGAGCGCCACTACAACATAATACATTTATAGCTACAAAACACAACGTAGCTAATTATGAAAATTTTCGTGGCTAAACACTTTAGCTACAATATTTTTTTCGTAGCATTCGTAGCAAAATGTAGCGTAGCTAAAAGTTAGCTACAAACTTTACATGGTCCGTGACTAAGGATTAATACTTATTGCTACAAAAATTTAATATTGTAGCCATATATATATATATATATATATATATATATAGAGAGAGAGAGAGAGAGAGAGAGAGAAATAATTTCATACTTTTGCCACGACAAATACATTTATAGCAAATGATTTTATACTCTTGCCACGAAAAATAAATCCGTAGTTGTCTTTATATGGTAGCCACAAAGTGTTATAGCGTGGCAAAAGATTTAAATTTATTTGCCATGAAAATTTAGATATATAACTGCTTTCATATAGTTGTCCGTGGCAAAAATATTTTTGTTTAGCTACGCATTAAAAGTTCCATGCTACAAATCATACAAAAAATTCGTGGTTAGATTATTTTACTATATTTTAATTTTTGACAAAAATTTTAATATATTATAGTGAAAAAAGTTTCTCTCACAAATCCTCTGTTTCTTAGCTATTTGATTTTTTTCTAAAATTTTCCAATTATTCTGTGGCCGTACATAATATATTAAAATTAATAACATATTAAGCTTGAGAAATAATTTATTCTGCACAAATTGGTATTTAAAAAAATTTACAAAATGAATTTCAAAATACACATTTGTACTAATCAATTAATAGCATCTGCAGTAGATAAGTCTTCTACAATAACTAAAATTTGAATAAAAGAACTAGCCAATGTGAGGCTTGATTGTAATAGAGATCAGAAATAATGTACAGAATTTCACATTAAATGAATGTAAGTGTTTGCTTGATGATTCATGTTG